AAATCTCTGTAAATGTTTATGAAAATTAATAAAATATAATTATAGAAAAAAATAAAGCTTTCTGTTTGTTGTTGTTGAATACTGTTGAGTCAGAACTGACCCATGGCTGACCCTCCAACAGGTTTTCAGAGGCAGTAAATCTCACAGGAAATTGCCCTTCTTTCTCCATAGAGTAGGTGGTGAATTCGAACTATGTGCCTTCAGTATAGCAGTGCAGCTACTTACCATTAGGCCACTAGAGCTTCCTTAAGCCTCGCTAGATCTATTTTTGAATGGTAAAAGCAACACCTCACATGAGATTTAAGGAAACAGCCAACTTCCAGAAATAACCTGGGCTTAGTACATTTTAAGCTCAAAGATTTGTACTTCTTACATCTTTGCCTAACAGCAGACGGCCCTAACCCTGTTTTTTTTTAAAAAAACAACCCAATAAAGCCTTGTCTTAAAAAGTCTATAGATGAAATCTGGGAATAAAGAATTTATATCATTTATAGTTAGACAATAATCTTAAAGCAATGCAAGATGTTTTACCATGTTCTGTACATATTACTTACTAGGGCATCATACTAAATGTAATATTAAAAAAAATTAACAAAGAGAAAACGCTTTCTGTCTTCTATTAATAAAAGTTTACACAGAATTCCCTATACTACATGTTCACGGAATAATGGACTTTAAAGCAATTTGATACCACAACAAGATAAAGATAAACAACCCAATTGCAAAATGGGCAAAGGATATGAACAGACAATTCACCAAAGAAGACATTCAGATAGTGAACAAATACATGCAGAAATGTTCAAAATCCCTATCTCTAAGAGAGATGCAAATTAAAACAACTATGAGATATCATCTCACCCCAGTAACAACAGCAAAATTCGACAGAGCAGCAAACAGCAAATGCTGGTGAGGTTGTGGAGAAACTCTAACCCTTAATCACTGTTGGTGGGAGTGTAAAATGGTGCAACCACTATGGAAGGCTGTACGGTGCTTTCTCAAAAAGTTGCAAATAGAAATACCATTTGACCGAGCAATTCCACTACTGGGAATATACCCCCTAAGAAACCATAACTGCCACCCAAGCAGATATATGCACAACCATGTTTATTGCTGTTTTGTTCACAATAGCAAAGAGTTGGAAACAACCTAAGTGCCCATCAACAAATCAATGGATAGAGAAGCTGTGGTATATTCACACAGAGGAGTATTATGCAGCATTGAAAAACAAAGATCTCATGAAATATTAAACAAAATGGGTGACCCTGGAGGACATTATGCTGAGTGAAATATCTCAGTCACAAAAAGATAAATACTGCATAGTGCCACTGTTATAAAACACTGGGGTTGGGGGGAAACTAAGAAAGGGGATAAATAATGTATACGGCATTGAAACAGACGATGGAGAGAACAGTATAAAACGAATATATGATTAGGTATTATTGGCATAGCAAGAGTCCAGAATAAGAGCTGCAGTCTGGGGGTGGGGACTGTATAGGATGACATAACTTTTTTTCTGGAAGGGAGTGGGGACAGGAAGGAAAATATGCAACAATGAATGAATGGAAATCCAAGTTCTTTATAAACTTTCATTAAAATCTCAATTTAAAAAAGTGAACTAGGTGAGGGGGGAAGGGAGGGAGAAAGAGGAGGTAAAAATGTGCAGAAAAAGAAAACCCCTCAATTTGATAAAATCGATCACAATCTCCTCTCCAATTTTCCTAACATTGGGAATTAACTTACCTGTAGAAATAAGAGCACCCTCGGACAGTGTTGTGAGTATAGTGCTCCAAGGTCTTTTCACTGCCATAGTCCTCGGAGGGGTCAGACCAAAGCAGGTCACAGACCGGCCCAAAGGCTGGAGGTTCTTTAAACCTATCTAACTAGAAAACACACAAAAGCCAAAAGGAAAAGTTACAAAAACAAAAGAACAGGACAGGTCAAAAGAGAAAACAGTAGAGGATTTTCCTGCAAAGAAAAGAATATTAACAAATTATTGGACATCAGCAACTCATAAGATAGGAAATGAAGGGTTTATACTGTATGTTTCAGGAAGAGAATAAACTAAAAAAAAAGGTGATAAGATTAAAGGAGAAGGAGATATACAATAAGGAGTTAATCAGATATTGTAATTAACTGCAATTACTGTTCTAAAACAAAATATGCATGAATTATTTAATGAAAAACCAATATAGTTTGTAAATATATTAAGTTCACTTAAGTTACAACAAAATAAATTAAAATAAAAAAGGTGAGAATGATGACATAATTTAAAGAATATAATCATTCTCACCACTCACTCATATAGGAATTACTGAATTGGAGTAAGTTCTGCTGTGTATATCCTCAACAATAACAAACAAAATCAGTTTTAAAAAGCCAACAAATTATAATAATTTATTATTTTTTTCCTTTAATAAAGTCTTAAAAAATATCCCTAAATATAAATATATTGTTAGGAAAGAACTCTTTTACATTCTAATCTTAAAAGCAGTACACATATAATGTATTATCAACCACTATATAGTTGGGTTTTTCTTTTTTTGTTTTTATGTTGTTGTTAAGAGAGTTCTGGTGGCCTAGTCCTAAGAAGCTGTGCTGCAATCCTGAAGGCATGTGGTTCAAATCAACCAGATGCTCCATGAGAGAAAGGTGGGCAATCTCCTTCCCTGGGATAAACTGCCTCTGAAAATCTGTCAGAGGGTCTTCTGTGGGTCAGTTCCAACTCCACAGTGCACAACAACAAGGTTGTTGTTAGATGTCATCAGGACGACTCATAGTGACACCATGAACAATAGATACTTTGTCTAAAATTGTTCCATCCTCAAAATTTCTACTATGCTTAAGCCCATCCTTACAGTCACTGTATGAATCCATTGGGTCCATTCCAACTCACAACAACTCAGGACAAAGTAGAACTACCTAAAAGGTCTCCAACGTAAATCTCTAGGGAACCAGACAGTCCCATCTTTCTCCACAGAACTGTTGAGCAGGTTTCAACCACAGACCTTTTAGTTAGCCTTAAGCACAGGGCCACCAGACTTCCTGCTTAATTTAAGTTACACAACTGACTTAGAGTTGTAAAACTCAAGACTTATTATGTAAAAGAAAAATGTCAGTTATTTAAACGATGATAAGACAACAGAAAAGGCAGTGTATACTGTATAGGCAAACTCTACTCTGAAGAGTTGTTTCAATTCAGAGAAAAGAATTATATAAATGGAGAAGTATTTTTGTTGTAGTAGCAACACAGGAGAAGGCAATGCAGAACAGTGCAAGCTACAAAATACTGAAAATCAAATATAGCAAATAACAAATATACAGAATCTTCACAACAATACTCTTTAAGTATGACACCTAGAACAATTAAACTGTATCATCTAAAAATGTCAAAGTGATAGAATTTTAGAGCTGGAAGAGTACTACAATTATTCCAAACTGGATTATTTCACAAAGAAAATGTGGCTTAGTGGTAAGGAGTTATACTGTCAAGTCAAAGCCATGTGGTTTGAATCCATCGGCTGCTCCTTGGGGAAAAGATGGGCAATCTCATGTGATTAACCTTTTCTGAAAACCCACTGGAAAGTCAGCTATATGGGTCAGTTGCAATTCAACCATACAACAACAACAACAACATACTGCTAATACGTGGCAGGACTGAGATTAGAAACCTGGTTTCTTTGCTTCTGCATTGGTATATAATTTTTTACCTTACAAAGTTATATAAAAGAGTGTTATGTTTTGAATTAGTAAAAGCACAGACTTCAAGAAAAGTTACAGAAATTTGTGAAATACATTGTTGTTGTCGATTGCCATCAAGCTGAGCATGACTCAGAGCAACCCTACGAACAAAGGGCCTGAAGCCGTTCTATAACTACTGTCATTTAACAAAGTTCGTATAGTTTCCAGAGGCATGTTGTTTAGGAAGTGGGTGTCCCTCCTGCTTCCAAATCTGTCTTACATTGGAAGCTCCACCCAACACTGTCCATCATGGATAACTATTATGGCATTTGACACCACAATGGCACAAGGTTCAGCATGACAGCAACTCCAGGTTAACCTTAGTACAGCATACTGATGGAAGAGTGCTGTATCACTTAGAAGACTCTTCCTCCAAAATATAATAATGACCAACTTTTAAATACAAAAGCCCTTATGTTCAAACAGCTATCATTCAGGGATGGGATTATACATTATTTCTGGTTTTCTGTATTTAAATTTAAATTTTTTGACTAGTAGAACTAAATTGTTGTTGTTGTTGTTAGGTATCTTTGAGTCAAATACAACTCATAACGATCCTATGAACAACAGATATGAACCCTATCCTGTGCCATCCTCAGAATCTCTGATACACTTGAGCCACTGCTTCAGTCACTGTGTTAATCCACTGTTTAAAATATGTTGATGTGAATAAAGAGGAAGCTTAAAAAAATTAAATTGCAACAGAGTGATGAAGAATTACTTACTTTCTTAATGTCATCTAAACAAGTAATTTCAGGAGACATCCCTCCATGTACACATAGAAACTGCTGATTTAAGAGGGCAGCAAGAGGAAGACAGTCAAATGTATCCATACATGCATCATACACGGCTTCAGAATATTTGATTCGACCTATCAAAAAAGAAACACAAAGAAAGAAACGCCGAAGTATATCATTTGTGCTGAGAGAATAGGTTAGAAAGATATGATGCTATTTCAAAGGCCATTTTGGGGAAATCTGAAAATGTAATCATCTTTGTAAAGAGGGTTTTTTTAAGTTATGGATTTCAAGAGTTAGTAAGAACTTCTTTTCTTCTTTAAAGGCAAGTGTGACTGGGATTAACTTTCTTGCTTTTCTCCCTGAGATTGTTATAAAGATGGATGTCAACAAAGCTTATGGTAAAAACGATTCAATTAGTAAACTGACTCATAACTATAAATATCAGATGGGAAGCCATAGCTTTGGGCACCTGTGAGTGAGGTGACTCAATACTGGGAATCTCCCTGACTGGGACACTGGCATGTACACCAATTGCACATTGATGCTTACTTATGATGCAATGTGAAAGCTGTTTCCTTGTTCCTGAGCTCTTTCTAGAAATAATGCAGAAATTATTGGTCATCAACTAACAGGACTGGGAAAGGACCTTGTAGATAGGCTTTAGTTTAAAGAGAAAGGAGAAGATTTTCTTATTCTTTGGTCTTGGATTTAAAATATCAAGGCATACTTGGGAGTGTGTGTTGATAGGTATGGAGGAACCCTATGGAACTATGGGTTTTCTTCCAAGATTCCATTAAGTGGTGCATAGCCTACCAAATCAAGGGGATAAGCTACAACTAGCAAGCTCTGTGGCTTAGTGGCAAGTAGTTGCACTGCCATCCCAAAGGCATACAGTTCAAATCCACAGTTGCTCCACAGGAGAAATATGGGAAGTCTCCTGTGCAATTTATTCTCTCTGAAAACCCACTGAAGGGTCAGCGATGGGTCAACTCCAATTAGATGATACACAACAATAACAAGTGAGTTAGATGAATTATTCGCTTTCCTTTTTTGTACTTCAGTTTTTAAAGGGGGGGGAAGCATATTTAGATATCAGAGCCTGACCTTGGAAAGCGCTGTACTGTAGAGTGAAGGCTAAAGGGTCCAGATTTGGGCCAGAGTGCATTATAGGGTTCCCTAAGGTGAACATATAAATCAGTGGAACACACTTGAAGTTACAAGATCCTTCTACTCCTAAACATACGAAGAGTCTATCTTCTTTGCCAACACCGCGGGAGATCAGGATTGAGTTCAACAGGAGATTCTTTCAAAAGGAATCTACAGGTTTTTTATAAATTTTCCTAGCATCTTGTATAACCACAACAGCAGTTAAGAGCATCTATCCCAAACCAGCTACTGTTGAATCAATTCCAACTCATAGTAACTCCTTGTGTGTGAGAGTTGAATTGTGCTCTATAAGGCTTTAAATAGCCTTAAAATAGAACACTAGGTCTTTATTTGGAGGCATCTTAGAAAACAACAAACTTTCAGTTAGCGCCTGAGGATGTGTTAATGTTTGTACTATTTGATACTCCTCCTTACAGTCACAACCTTGTGTCTTGCCTTATAAAAACTACAAATTTTTTCTTTCAAAAGTAGATCAAACACTGGTTGTAAAGCAGATGGAAGAAAAAACAAAAACAAAAAACAAATCCTTTTCATTGGGACAGTGATTGATTTTCCCCTCCCCTAAAAATCCTGGGAAACAATGTCATCCAATTATCATCATATTTCTTTAGAAGAGTGCTAAGCCCCCATATAGGGAGTTCTAATGGCCTAGTGGATAAGGAGTTGTGCTCCCAATCTAAAAGCAGGTGGTTCAAATTCACCAGCTGCTCCATGGGAGAAAGATGGACAATCTCCTCCCATGTAATTTACAGCCTCTGAAAACCAGTGGAGGGTCAGCTACGAGTAGTTCCAAATTAATCAAGACCGATATTTCTGCCTATTTGTAGTCATGATAAATAATACTACCTTGTCTTTCAACTCTAAGAATGAAACAAAAGAATTTCATAACCTACTTCCAAAGAATGGCAAATAAGATGGTGTGTTACTAACTCATTTTGTAAATTAAAACATATAAATAAATAAAACTAGGCAGGAGTTCATATTATATAAGCATGTTATTAAAATAGGTTATGAAACTTTTTAAAAATGTGAAAGTAGGGGGGAAGGGGTAGGGAGAAAAGTGCAAGAGTGAATGAGTGAAAATCCAAAATCTCTGTAAATGTTCATTAAAATTAATAAAATTTAAAAAAATGTGAAAGTATATACACAAATTTTTCTTTTTTCTAAAGGGTCATACTAAATATGATATTTACATTTCATCTTGACTTGATTTAGCCATATTTTCTAAACAGAGAATCTTTGTACTGTAACATTTACTACAGTAGGACTTTATTATAAAATTTATTTAAGGTCCTCAGTGTGCTAAGCATTTTGTACAACATGGGATGAGAAAAGAATTCTGGAATAGACAGTCTGGATTTAAATTCCAGCCCCATCACTTACTGGTCTTATATAAAGTGTTAAACTCTCTGGGCTTTGGTTTCCTCATAAATTAAAAGAGCATAATAATACTTGTAGGATCTTTTTGATAATTAATACATAGAAGTAATTTATAGATATTAATTAAGTATAATATAGTTGTGGTTAGTTATTATGGAATTGGCTCTGAATAGATACTATCTAACAGGTAACAAATTATTTGATGCTCAGAGAAATCCTATGAAGTGACTACTATTATTACTTTCATTTAAAGGCAGAAAACAGGTGTTCTTGTCCAAATTTACAACCCAAACTTACAATTAATTATAGAATAGGAACTGCAATGCAATTTTATGTGCTTCAAAGTCTATTCTCTTAATCACATTGCACAATATCCTTTCTAAATATTAAATTTATTATTGCCTAATTTAAATTTAAAATTGCCTAGGAGAATCTAAAATTATCTAGTTGTTCTTGTTAAGTACTGTCAAGTCAGAATCAACTTAGATCCTCCGGTGAGTTTTCAGAGGCTATAAATTGTGTGGGAGGACATTACCATCTTTCTTTCAAGAAGCAGCTGGTGGATTTGAATTGATTGCCTTTGGACTGGCAGCACAACTCTTTACTCACTAAGCCACCAGCATGTCCTAGTAAGAGGGGTTGTTACTGTTAGGTGCCTTCGAGCTGAATATGACTTATAGCAACCCTATGAACAACAGCTCAGAACACTGTCCTGTTCTGTGCCATCCTCCGACACACCTGAGCCTATTGCTACAGTCACTGTGTCAATCTATGTTGCTGAAGGACTCCCTCTCTTTGACTGACCCTCCACCTTTCCAAGCATGATGTCCCTCTCCAAGGAATAACTTCTAACAACATGCCCAAAGTATGTGTGGCAAAATGTAATCCTATTTGCTTCCAAGGAGAACTATGGCTGCACCTTCTCCAAGACACATCTGTTCGTTCTTTTGGAAGGCCGTGAGATATTCAGTACTCTTCTCCAGTACCATAGGTCAAAGGCATCAATTCTTCTTTTCTTATCCAGCTCTCAGATGCATAGTCAGTGACTGAAAGGACCATGGCCTGAATCACGCATGCCTTAGTCCTCAAACTGATATCACTGTTTCTCAGTAACCCGGGAGGTGGGGGGGGTGGTCCCTGATTACAGACTTTTCCAGTGTAACACATCTGATCTCCTGACTACTGATATCAATGGTGTTGCTTTTAAGAGTTAGGATAATCTAAATAGCCAATTATGTAATTCACAAACACAGAATAAGATAACTCAAGGGCTTTACTTTCATTACAAGTTTTTTTTTTATTTAGGTTGTTTATTTTTCATTTCAATGAACATCTAAAGAGATTTTGGAATTCCATTCATTCATTGTTGCACCCTTCTCTCCGCACAAACCCCTCCCCCAACCCCCCACCCCACAAGTTTTAAGCTATATCACATAAAACACTTTTTTCTGTAATCAAAGAATCTACCACAGCCATGTTTTAACAAGTTCTAACTAGTATCAGTAATATAACATTAATGAAACAAATTTGCACAAAATTTCTCTGAATACAATCAGCACCATGTTTTAAGAATCAACACTATTCGTACGAACTACCACCTGGTCTGGCCACAAATTTTAAATGTTAACTGAAAAATTAACACTTGTTTTAATTTTTTAAAAGTATACATTTATGTGGTTCAAAATGAACAATCTGTAGAAGGTATAGATTTATTTCATTTCTTAACCCTCTCCATGGGCAACCAATATCACCTGTTTCTTGGGTATCTTTACAAATATGCTCCATGTATACACATGAAGATTTTTACATGTATTCTCTTTTTACAACGCCCCTGTAAAATTTAGATAAACACTATATATACACTATTTTACATTTGCTTTTTATGCTTAATATATTTCTTAAATGATGCCACATCTTTATAAGAGTAGCTTTTTCAAAACAACTATGAGATATCATCTCACCCCAGTAAGAATAGCAAAATTTAACAGAACAGCAGGAGAAACTGGAACCCTTATTCACTGTTGGTGGGAGTGTAAAATGGTGCAACCACTGTGAAAGGCAGTATGGCGCTTTCTCAAAAAGTTGCAAGTAGAGATACCATTTGACCCAGCAATTCCACTACTGGGAATATACCCCAAAGAGACCCTAACTGACATCCAAGAAGATAATACGAACACCCATGTTTATCGCGGCTTTGTTCACAATAGCAAGGAGGTGGAAGCAACCTAAATGCCCATCAACAAATGGATAGAGAAGCTGTGGTATATTCGCACAATGGAATGCTATGCTGCACTGAAAAGCAAGGAACTAATAAAATATTAAAAATGGGTGACCCTGGAGGACATTATGCTGAGTATATTGAAATATCTCAGTCACAAAAGGACAAATACAGCTTAGTGCCACTGTTGTAAAATGGGACTGACGTGGGGGGCGGAGACTGAGAAAGATGGGATAAATAATGTATACTGCATTGAAACACATGAGGGAGAAACTGTTTAAAAGGGATACGTGATTAGGTATTATTGTCATGACAGGAGTGCAGAGTGAAGGCTGCATAGTGGAGTGGACCTGGGGGGGGGTTGTA